TTCTGTTTATTACAGAAGATAATTTGAAGCCGGCTGGAAAACTTTAACCATTGACTGCCCTCAAATTTGTCTTTCCATTATAAAAGTAAATTTTTACAACCTTTTCTTCAAAATATCTTATTTTGTGTTTGACAGAAGAAACACATAAAGGTCTAGAACTACTTAAGGATAAGTAAAATGAGTACATTTTCATTTTTGAGTTGATCACTTTAACTATAATTCAGTCATTGTAGTGTAAATGATAATAGGCATTCATAGTTATGGTATACTGTAATGCAATAACACATTCTTCAAAATAGCAGGCAACAAAATTTACTGTGTAAAAACAAAGGCAATTTTACATATTATTATGCAATATAATTGAAAACTATTATTCATTCATTCATTTTCTTTTCGGCTTGGTCCCTTTATTAATATGGGGTCGCCACAGAGGAATGAACCAACAACTTACCCAGCATATGTATTACGCAGCGCATGCCCTTACAGCTGCAACCCATCACTGGGAAACATCCATACACACTTATTCACACACATACATTATGGACAATTTAGCTCTCCCAATTCACCAATACCACGTCTTTGAACTTGTGGGGGAAACCAGAGCACCCGGAGGAAACGCACACGAACACAGGGAGATCAGGGGGCTAAAACATCTAGCGACTATCTCTCTAGACCAGGGGTCACAAATCTCGGTCCTGGGGGGCCGGTGTCCCTGCAGGGTTTAGCTCCAACTTGCCTCAACACACCTGCCTGGATGTTTTAAGCATGTCTAGTAAGACCTTGATTAGCTTGTTCAGGTGTGTTTGATTAGGGTTGGCGCTAAAATCTGCAGGACACTGGCCCTCCAGGAACAAGTTTGGTGACCACTGCTCTAGACCTTCTTGCTGTGAGGCGATCATGCTTCCCACTTTGCCACCATGCAGCATTGAAACTATTATTACTGTAATATTTTCATTCAAATCTTAGTGATTTGTTAACCTATTTTATACTGGGAAATATATACATTACTTCTTAACTGCTCAATGCTTCTGTTGAGTGTTAATTTAATTTACACATACTAAAAGCAACATGTTGACACACCACAACTTCCAATTGTATAAATGAACAAGTATTGGCTTTTCATCAGACAAATAAAAAGGGGGAACAGTCTGTAATGTAAGCTACTAAGATTTCAAATTTGTTAAACTCTTTTATAAAATCAATATCACATTTACAATCAAGCTGACTTTATAGGAAAATATCTGTCTTGCTTGTGATAATATACTGTAGTTCCTAGTGTTTACATCATGTATAAACATAGAAATCCACAAATCATTACAACATTTTGGTAAAGTTTTTGCCCCTCAGAAATAATAGACTTACACTGATTTACATTTAAATACAATTATTTGTAGCTCCATATGCTTCATGCTAGATATGCTAGATAAACAGATAAAGTACCATTTATTTAATTCTGTTTGCTTACTTTTGTGTTATTGTTTGTGATAGTTTTATTTGTTGTTTTTTATTGCTGACATTTCACTTTCTGCGTTTTACATGCCTGTACATTTGTACATATCTATAATTTTATTAAAACAGATGATTATTTTATCTCTAATATCTAAAGTAAAGCAAATGTATTAATGATGGAAATGGAAATAAAGACTGCACGAAAATAATTAATCTATTACAGCAGCAGCCAAACTCATAAATCAGGTTGTGTCCTTCATGTGGGAGTCAAGGTAATTGCGTTGTTAGTTCGATAGGCCTATATGCTACAATCACAGGACAGATTGGTGTGAAAAATAAGAGTAATGGCAAATATGACTCTGTTATGGTGGAAACGAAAACAGTTATTAAAGACAAAGACATAAACGAACAGCAGTTACCTTTTGTACATGGATCCAGTGCAGATTACACACATATCAGCATGCGACACATCAAGCTCCTTTAAGATGAGGCATGTGAGGTATCTGACAGACACTCGTAAAGTTTAGTATTCAATTCAATAAAGCTTTCGGCCATAGCTTAAAGAAATTGTAACGTTACAAGAACAAAATCTTTCTTTGCAAAGAAACAGCAGCAACTTCAGTTCTTTTTCTTCTTAGTTTTTCTGGCATGTAGCAAACAATCTAGATCAGCTTTACCGCCACCTATTGGATCGAAGCGTATAAAATGAAATAAATAAATCAAATAAATCAAAATAGAAAAAAATACAGCCATTATTTGGGTCCTTGATCCACCAGTGAATATAGTTTTATTTTTTATTTTTTGGCTTTTTTGACTTCTTGACTACAAACCATTGCTACAAACCAAACAGACTTTTCCTTTGAGCAACTTTTCAATTTGTCCTTGTGTAATTGAATGCCTGTTACTGCATTAAAGATTAATTTAATAGTTGTGTCTCTTTGTGAGTTCATTAGCAATACATTCTCAGGAAAACTAATTAAAAAACAAAAATTACCCTTGCTTAAATTTTTGACTGCTTAGGGAAGCAAATCTGTGGCCATTTTTGTGCCGGATTATTTGTGTTTGCATTCTATTTTGTACATATTCTAAATTTCTGATTCCAATCCAATGTGCCCCACCATGTTAAAAAAAATCACTAATTTGCTAATTGGCTAAATGCACAGCTAGTGTTTTTCAGCCAATGATGAACTTCCGGTGAGAGTTTAATTTGACTATTTTCAATTTCATAAGGTTACTTTTACAGCAGTGATGTTGTAATGTAGTTCAAAAATATAAAGAGAAAATTATCCATTTGGTTGTTAAAGTGTAAAAGGAGACGAAAAACTGTTTAAATGCAGGCACTATCATAGCCGCAGGCTGGTGTAGAAACTCCAATTAATTTCCATATTTTTAAGACAAGGCACGAAAAAAAAAAAAGTTTATTGCAGTGCTTTTTGTTTGGTCTGATACCTACTTTATATTGTATCTCAGCCAGGCAGTAATAATTGCTGTTTTTAAAAAAATTAGATCGTAACGCAGAGATTTTGCATGAGATGACAATTCACCAGTAGCCCTGGGGCTGGCTGACTGAAATTGAAAGTCTGTGTGCATATACCACATTGTAAACAACAGACGCCACATACTGTCCATGTGCTTCATTGTCTGAAATATAGCTTAGCACTTTTACTCACGTACCTACTTATTTACAATATTCTACGAAACACAAACTTTATCACCCAGTAATATTCTACTTCAGTCCTAGAGTTCTGTTCAAAAGATCTGAAATTTTCAAACATTAAAAAAGCTGGATATATCCCCATATCCAATTCATTTTTGTAAGCAAATTTAAGAATTTGAAAGGATTATTTGGCCTTGTCCACAACCCAACTGTGACTTATTACATTTAGTATATTTTATCTTACATCTTATATTTTAGTATTATGTCTATTGTTTGTTTTCTCTCTTTTTATATTGCTGCTGGTCTCTCTGTGAGTTACCAAGCAAATTTTGTTGTATAACTACAATGACAATAAAAGTTCTTTACTTTACATTATAAAAGTTCTTTACTTTAATAGTCAAAAGAATTAATAACCAACTTTATGTTACAAATTTATGGTCAGCAAGTTCCTTAGGATTTTTACCCATCATCAGATGAATGAATGGTTGCTCTTTATTGTACTTGTTGAAGTAAAACACCCGCCCATTGTATTGTGGCTTGAGCTTCAAGTTCATTTTTTAAAGAAGGATTCAACTGAAAATAGGAAGTCATATGATGCCTTAAAGGTAAATAGGCAAATTTTTAATTTTGGGTGCACTAACCCTTTAACAGTACATTGTTACCTGCATATGCCATGCCCTTTAAATCACACCATGTCAAGGCTCCAGTTCCTCAAACAAAAGCAAACAACATATGTGTTGTAAAAATAAAAAAGCAAACAAAAGTTGTTGCAACTCACTATTAGGCCACAACTTTCCCTATAGGTGAACGAAGTGGAAGAGGATATTTGTTGTTATCAAACACTTTACTTCACAAAGTCAGTTTAACACTGAAGGGTTTGATCCAACAGGCCTATTGATGGAAGGTTTGTGAAGACATTTCATGCTCCCTTTATTATTTAGTATTTTAAAATACAAAAATACAGGATTTTATTTTGATACATTTGTGGCTGCCGCAGATTTGTGAGCTCATAATTTGATTTATTTATTTACTAATGTAAGTGTGTAATATTTATTCGGTGTTTAAATTGATTGTAATATTATTACTGATTAATATGCAAATGTAAAGAATATATTCTGTCTTTTATACAAGAACTGCTGTAGTGTTGTTTACCATATTACCAACAGGTACATTACTTGTCTAACACTTCATATCGTTGTAGTGTGCAAAAAATAAATAAATAAATAAATAATAATAATAAATAAATTAAAAAATAGCAATACAAAATTAATTATTATTATTAATTCTATCTATCTATCTATCTATCTATCTATCTATCTATCTATCTATCTATCTATCTATCTATCTATCTATCTATCTATCTATCTATCTATCTATCTATCTATCTATCTATCTATCTATCTATCTATCCCTCTCTCTCTCTCTCTCTCGCTCTCTCTCTCTCTCTCTCTCTCTCTCTCTCTCTCTCTATATATATATATATATATATATAATTTCCTTCATATATTGACTACTTTCTTTTGCTTGTAGGGTCACAATCATTTTATTATCTTCACTATTGGACTGGGGCTACACTTTTGCCTCCATTGATTAAAATGATAATTAAAATAAACAATTCATTAGTAAAATAATAAATAGTTGTATTTTTTAAATAATAATTATTATAGGAATATTATAATACTTATTACTTTTAATGTATACATTTCTGCTGATGTCACATTGAAACAACTTGCTGTGGCTTCTATGACTGCTATAATGCCCTCTTATGGTCTGGTGAACATGCAAACAAAAAATAAATAAATACAATGTTCTACATCTTGTTTTAATATAGCTTTATAAAATATTTTTGTTTTTGTAGTTTATTGACATTTTAATCCAGACACAAGCACAGACATAACATATGCCTTTTGGTGTTTATTTAAATTTTAAGACACATTCAGCCGCATTTATAAAGGTATTGTTATTACAGGGGAAATGGTGCAAATGCAGCTTTACAGGTGGTTTTATTGCAATTCTGCATTTTAAATGTCAAATTGTGCATTTAGAGTTTAATTGCATTTTGACAAGACTTTTGAATTGCATTTTGACAAAACAATTTAAGTTTGTGTACAAAAGCAATATCTCAGATTACAGGAAATTGACAATTACTATCTAAAAGTGTTTATGCCATATACTCGATTATAATAATCTCAGTATGATGAACTTAACAAAACTTCTATATTTTTAGAAGGTGCATACACTACAAACATTTACCAATGTGAGCAATACTAATGCCTGAGTAAATATTGCCAGTTCTTTTTATTGTTCTTTTTATTCTTAAAGACCTTTATTCATTCAGTACAATTACCAGGTGTTGAATTAAATTACAATGTAACTTTGAATTCTCTAATGATGACAAATCTTTCTCTTCTCAGCTGCACAGAAGAATAAAATAATGTAGCACCGTAGAGAGGGAATCAACTCAAAAAAAGAGAGCATGTGAACTCAAGTTTCTTAAAAAACAAACAAAAGACAAATAAATAACAACAACAACAACACAAAGTCTGAAAGTCAAATGATGAGGTTTTTCTAGCATCACACTAGTCTTGGATTAACCTAACATGTGCTAAATGTTTTCTAGAGAACTAATCTGTACAGACTTTTACAACCTTTTATACTCTAGTTGGATTGTAAACACAAAAGCAGCAGAAAAAAATCATAGTGCACACTGAAGTGTAACAAATATATCCTAAACAAAGCAACAACATCATTGTTTATCCAAACTAAATCCAAAACTGCTGCATGTTTGGACAAAGTTAACACTAAATTATGTGAGTGAGTTTTTGGACTAATGATATGTCAGAGTGGCGTCACAAAAATATTAGCTAAACAATTGACAAAATGTTTTGTTTTCACAGTCTCAGTTGGTTTGGAAACAAACTAACATGTATGAGCTTTGACCACTTGTTGCTATATCATGTTGCACTTGGTTAGAGTACAGTTTTATGCTGAAATCAAAACATTCTTACGAATAACTAGTAAAGATCACACACTTAAGATTTTTCATCTAACATGTTAAACATAATAACATGACAAATTATTATGACAATACCATCACAAATACAGAGCAGATTAACCCACGTAAGATGTATATTAATGCAATTATATTGTTTATTTGAAGCACAGTGCTTTTTGAATATCTGGGAGATAAAATATTGTTAAAAAATGCAGTGTATTTTGTCAGTCGAGTTGATTACCGATAACACTAAGGTGTCCTTGTACTTTGGTTCAAAGTTCTTTGACGATGTAGACATAGTTTTCTTTAATTAAACTAAAAAATGTGGTGGACCTTAAAAACAGGCTTTGCTAAAAAATATGTAATCTAATATCTGTAGAAATTATTATATATTTAATGTTTTTAGCTTTTTATTTTGACCATAAAGTTATTTAGAAAGTTTTCTCATAAAATAATGGCTACCTGTGTTTTTTTAAAACAATTGTAGATTTCATTCTACTCGTCTTTCTCTACTATGATCTCTCCATGAAGTACCCTCCTCCTTTGACGTAGCATGTGGAAGTAGAGCTGAGGAAACACTGAAAGAGAAACAGACACATGTTAAAATGAAGTATTGAAAATGAAGATACAAGTGGAAATAAATGTAAATAAACATTGTAATCAGAGACAGCTTCATCTGCTTCAGCTTTCAATATATTAAGAATACCAAACAAGTTTTTCTACACTAAAATCTTTTATTGTGAAAAAAACAGTGAATTTACACAGTACACTGTAAAAAATAAATCTGTAAAATTTAAGAAAAAAACCCCAAAGGGTTGTCGTTGTTGAAATTTTACTGTAAAAACACAGTAGAAACATAAAATAGTTTTTAAATTAATGGTAAACTGCTGCATTTCGTTAATGTATAGTCACACAGAAATGTTGGGAATGTTTTTGTGCATATGTTTATCACAAACTATTCCCACATGCAGATAACTAATATATACTGATATAAAGTAATGCAATAAATATTACATGTAATATAAAACTTCAGTCTACATAACATTAAAAATAAAAAACATAAAACATTTTTTAAAAACCTAAAAAACAGCAATGAGTCATTCAGGTAAATCTGGAAAAGCAAATTTACGTAATTCAACATACATTTTAAGGGAACTTACACTTAAAAAAAATCACTAATTTTATAGAAAATATTTTACAGTCATTTTTTGTCATTTCAAATTATATTAAAAACTTAGTAAAATGACAAACAATCTTTCTAAATTAACAGTTTGACAATTATTTTAGGTACTTTATCAATAAAGACAAATTACTGACATCGTAATAATCTAGGAAATATCTGTAAAATAACCATGTTTTTCTGTAAACATTTCAATAAAAATATCTGTAGATTTATTATTTTTTGCACTTGATATCAACAAAGAAATTTTACCGTAATGTTATGGTTTTTGTTTGGCAGCCGTAGCTGCCAGTCATTTGACTTTTTTTTTTTCAATGTTTTTACAGTGTACTGTTACCCATTTACAGAATTTTACTATTATACGTATTACTTTTACCATTGATATCACAAACAATTTTTACAGTATACCCAGTAGAAGTACTCAACAAATTTTATGTTCAACTGGAACATATGGTTAGCATATAAGATTTATTCATTCCAGTATTATTAAAAAATAATGCCACCGTATGCATGAGCCTGTAGCAGAAAGTACCTAATAATAGCAGGATTAAGATAAAGATAAAGACAGAAGAATTTATATGTCTTACACGGGATGTAGGACAGCATGACAATGATCAAGAAGTAGTAATAGTCAAAGGACACGTTGTATTTGTTGGGGAGCCTTAGGGAGTACATGCCCGATCTTCGAACATATGGTAAGGCAGCATGTATAGTCAGCAGTTCACCAACTACTCCCAGTGGGTACATGACAATAAACATGTTATACCTGAGGAAAGTGGGAGAAAAGTATACAAATTTACTTAATGGGGAATTTAACAATAGATTAAAGCATAATATTAACTTCACTTCCAAACATGTACATACAAAAGATCAACTTCCTGATATTGTGTCAATATGGTGGAATAAGGCCTTCTAAAAAAAAGGAGCGAACTCTTGAAATGTTTTATGATTCAGAAATCACTCCACAACTCATTAAACTCAATCTATTTTCCTGATTTTGTAGGAAGTTGCCAGTGCACTAGCAATTCTTGGTAAATTTCAATTCCTGTAAAGCAGTGGCAAGGGGTCAGGGAGAAGAGGGCTTTCAAGGACTAAAGAGGGCCCCAGAGAGGCTTGTCACAATCTTAATTTTTGTTGTACCATACAGTATATTGTATAGCCAAAATATATTTCATTTTAAGACCATTTTATGCTTCTCATTATATAATGCCAGAATGACAGTATAATATCATCACAATGCAAGTTCACTCTTCTAAAGAACACATAATATTTTATAAGAGTATTTAATTTAATTATTTTGACAATTTAATAATGAGGCAATGGAATAAGAATGTGAAAATGCATATTAATAAATGTTAAAAAAAAAAAAAGCAAGGTAAAAAGTAACAGAGGCTGTGATATCTGCTACCAGATCTATTTTCAGTTGTCAGGCACCCTCATAAAAACATACTAAAGTAAATTATAGTAAATACTATAGTGTTTTTAACCACACTGACTAAAATGTTGCTAAAATAGTTTTTTTGTTGTTGTTGTTTGTATAGGCGATATATATTCTATCACCAAAAATGATTGAGGTCATGTCCATGTGTTGTGTGATAAGTCAAAATATTGCTTATTCTGAGAGGCCTAGCCATAAACTCAAATAAGTTAAGAACCACTGTGGTATAGGGCTATTGTGACGATAGTAACAAGCTGATGGCACTGCAAAAATGTCCACAGTTCTTTTGAATTCATCAATTTATGGTTATTTGTCAGCCAATATTGGCCAAAAATTGTGCTATTGTAACAAAGTGTAAATCAATGGAAAGCTCATTTATTAGATTTTAAATTATGTACAAAAAATATTTCTAAAAATTGACATTAGTCATATAGGAATTTAAATAATAATTATTAATTATCTATTTCGTCTACACTTCAACACTAGTAATAACAAAAATCCCTTTTTTGGCAGCAAATCAGCATATTAGTATAGTTTCTGAATGATAATGATTATTTTGCTCAAAAAAATACTTTCGAAGAAAATTTACATTAAAAAGCTGAAACAAGTCCAATTCTGCACAATGTTCTTGTGAGTACCAGACATGCTTAAGGAATCCACACCATGCAGAATCCACTGGGATATGAATTCTAGCTTCATGCCCCATTTGTACCTGGCCCACTTGATGAAGTATGGCAGATGGTTGAGCAGGTTGAAAGTGTAGAAAGAGTAGCGAGTGATCTCTGTAACTGTCCATACCACTACAAACAAGATCACACTCTCCTCGTTCTGAATCTTAGCATGTGTTTCAAGTGAATAGAAAAAAAGTTCAAAGACAAAGAGGTTGTAAACAGGTGAACAGTGAAAGTTTTACAGGTTTATATGTGAAAATATTTCTGGAATGAATACCCTAATCATGCAAACTGACCTGTCTGATGCTGTTTGTAATAAACCAAACCATGAATATCCGAGAACACACTTGGACCCCAGTCACAATTACAGATGTCCGCACAATTCCTTCAACACAGCAGAAATATCACTTGAAAATCTCTTTATACTGTACACCTACTTGGAGTACTAAAATTTTAAAATCACTTTAAAGGGATAGTTCGACAAAAAATTATAATTCTCAAATCATCATTTACTCATACTTCACTTGTTTTTTTGTTAGACACAATAGAATATATTTTAAGTAAAGCTGGAAACCTGTAACCATTGATTTCCATAGATTTGTTTTTCCTATTATGGAAGACTATAGTTAGAGGTTTTTGTCTTTCTTCAAAATATATTTGTTTGTTTTTTTAAAAAGAGACTAATAAAGGTTTAATATCCACTTGAAGGTGAGTAAATAGTGACTACATTTTCATTTTGGGGTGAACTATCCCTTTAAGCTTTATATTACTTACCAATAGCACAGTGGCCGACCTGAAATACAAACAGAAGTAATAAGCCACAAAGTAATGTAAGTAATAATAAGTAATAAGAACAACAAAAAAAAAGTACAAATAACACAACAAAGAACAACAACAAAAAAGGAGAGATCAGAGCACAGGTATGGGCATTGGACACTGGATCAGTTCAGCCTTACAATATTGCTGCTGGTAAAAGCTGCTCATAAGAAAAATGATATTATCCTAGAAGTGAGAAAAAAATGCTAAATGCACCACATCACCAGTATGTGTATGTAATATTGTATGCCCTATTATGACACGATGATGTTTCAAAATTGACCTTATTCCATAGACTCAGAACATTACAACGGTAGTAAACAAGAGTCAGTATCTATATCTACTTCTATATCTGCCTTGGCTGACTCAGAGGTAAGGTTACATGCTTGAATGACAAGTGCCATCTAATGGTCAACATAACATTTACAGCACTGCACAAACCAATGGATAGGCAATTTCTATACACAACCGTTTGCAGTGGATTAATGTTTATATACACTGCACCATTTAATTTAGGACTTCTCATAGAATTTATAATGAAGGATAAATTAAATTTAAACTTATGTATTACTGAATGGGCATTTAGATAATTTGGTTTTAAAAAGGTTTGTAACTGTTACAATGTTGCAATTTGTTCTTGATTCAGTTTATTTTCACAATGCACTATTCCTAACAAGTTTAGAGAACACCCCTGTTTATGTTTAGTGATTCTGTTTATATCAGTTATTTATTTAAATGTGCAAAACAGCAGCTCTACAAGGCTACTGGACTTTCTTTGTAGCTGTATTTATTTGTTTTGGACAGTTGTTGTCAAATATATGCTTCAGACCAAATTTGAATTAGGTTTTTTAAGAGGCATCAGCAAAACAAACATTGTTTTTTCTCAAGCAATGTATGTAACCCATAATACATTTTGATAAAACCTGCTTCAGTGAACTGTTGGGTCAAACTTCTTTCTCGAGACAAACTGCTTTACCGTTTGTTTCACTGATCTCTAGCCAATTGTTTTGGTTAAGATCTGAGAATGATTGCAGTGTCTAAACGTGTGCAGCTATGTTTCTTTATACATTCATTTGAGGAAGAAATTCATTTATTACTTCTACCATTATATTATTGTTGAACCTTTGTGTGTGTTGTGTTTCTTCATAGATTAATCTTAGCTATATTACTGTAGCTCGGCACATTGCTAGCAAAGCCAAGGCCATGGGTGTGAAGCTGTATATTTATGGTTGTATTTATGTGAATAATTTCTGTTTAAGTCACTTTGGATAAAAGTGTGTGCCAGAATAACAAAGAGTTGATTACTTTGGCTGTCAAACTATCAAACATTTTGAACACAGTTGAGGCTGGGTCTATAACATGTTTTGACAAAAAGAGTGATGAAAGCTGCACTGCAAAAAAGTGATTAGTTACTTTGCTTAAAAAAGTAAGTAAACCTGTTGCCTTAAAAGCAACAAGTTGATTTTACTTAAAAAAAATAAATCAGTAGACTTACCTTAATCATTTTAATTATTATGCACATAGATTGTTTACTTAATAATTATAAGGCAACAAGTTTACTCTCTCTATTTAAGTAAAGTCAACTAATTGCTTGTTATAGTGTGTGAAGAGTCCAATTCAGGTACCGATGTAGGTAATGTATTCAATTAATTAATGCTTCATAAAATATATATAAATAATGTATGTTTTTTTCATAATTTAAAAAAGAAGTCACCATTCCCGATTCTAGCATGTTTGTATGCTAGATGTGGAACCTTTTTTTACAACATCAGATCAAACATCTGAAACCCATACAAACACCAGCCCATAGACCACACCCTTAAAGAAATCTGGAAAGTGGTTAAAAGTGTACTAATGAGGTGGTCTAGGAGCATCGCGGGTCTCCTTAACCACCACCAGTAATGAAACAGTTCAAAGAGGAAAGTATTCTTTAAATGTGTTTCTAAAATGTCTGGGGTTTGATAATGTGCAGTATTCTGTTCATGTATCAGCAAGTTACATTTCCCAAAAACCAATGCTTTATGCTGTGTATCCCTCTAAACAACAAGTTAAATTAACATTATTTAACAAATGACCAGATTTGCCATTCAACACCTCACATTTGTTTACCACTAATCTAAATACTGGACAGATCTTCCTATGGTGATTTCTCTTTATGTCTATCATGGTTACAATTATATAAGGACATTCCATTTTTTTCAAATCATTTAACAAAACAGCACAGATACAGATGCACAATATCCTGTGAATAACTTATCCTACAATTGTTAATACAAAGAGTAAAGCTATAAGCCACAGAAAACAATTTTCAACTAGTGGCCAGCCCCTTAATTCTTTTAAAGTTTTTAATAGTTTTACTGAAAAAATGTACAACTAAATAAATAAATGAATAAATAAATAAATAAATAAATAAATAAATATATATATATGTATAAAGATATACTTGTATTATATTGTGTTTACACAAAATAAAAACACTTATGAAGTTACTCTTATTTTTTTTAGAAGTTATACGCTTATTTAAGGTGTTTTTAATGCAGCATCTATGGGTTGGGTAGCAAATTTGACATTTTTCTGAAAGTCATGAAAAGACAACTGTGGGGTATTTCTTTTGTTATTTGAGCCAAAATGGAATGCATATATATATATATATATATATTTTTTTTTTTTAATTTATTTTATTTCGATTGTCTACAGAACAAACCATTGTTATACAATAACTTGCCTAATTACCCTAACCTGCCTAGTTAACCTAATTAACCTAGTTAAGCCTTTAAATTTCACTTTAAGCTGAATAGAAGTGTCTTGAAAAATATCTAGTCAAATATTATGTGCGGTCATCGTAGCAAAGATAAAATAAAACAGTTATTAGAAATGTGTAATTCAAACTATTATGTTTAGAAATGTGTTGAAAAAAATCTTCTCTCTGTTAAACAGAAATTGGAAGAAAAAAAACAGGGGTGCTAATAATTCAGGCTGGCAAATAATTCTGACTTCATTCATTCATTCTCACAGAAACGGCAACTGATCCGAGGGTCGAACCAGCAACCCAGCGACCTTCTTGCTGTGAGGTGACAGTACTACCTACTGCGCCACAGCGTTGCCCCATATCTGACTTGAATTGTGTGTGTATATATATATATATATATATATATATATATATATATATATATATATATATATATATATATATATATATATATATATATATGTATATATATATACACACACACACACACAGTAACAAAGCATACACACACACACACACACACATATATATATATATATATATATGTGTGTGTGTGTGTGTGTATGCTTTGTAACTCTCCCATTCACTACACTCTCTAAGTTTACCCAAGTATATAAAGTTTTTGTTGAGTAACCAAGAAATGTGGGTGAAAATACTTCAACAGTGGTGTAAAATAATGAGTAGATATATTACAATACTGTTAAATACAAAAAATGCAGTATATCTTACCTCCAGCAGTGCAAATGTCTGGAAAAATTTGAGTGTCCTTGCTATATTTCTGTATAAGCCTTTATGGGTGCCTTTCTGAAGGTAATACTTAACCATGGCAACAGTCAGTACAAGCCACCTGCAAAAAATATATAGATAAAATAAAAATCACACCCAAATATTATTTGTTAAACAAGTCAAGGGAAACCACCCAGTAGGTTGAATGACACACTACAACAAAACATAATAATCAACGTATATATAATATATAAGAATGTAATTTCAACATCTTTAAAAACAACTCACATACTGAAAAAATATTTCTGCTAAATTGTTACAATTTATATGGGCTGAATTGAAACAAATTAAATTTTGTAATGTTCAACTCAATCTGTTTGTTTAAATTCAGCCCCCCAAAAATAATTTACAACCACTCAACTTAAAAAGTATAAAATCCATGGAATCATTTTTGAATCATTTTTAGTGCAGATCAAATATTCACATTTTAAATTACTACAAAATGTACCTTTTAAAACAGTACTTAGACATGAAAGTTAGATTACAATAACGCCTTTCATTTTTATAACTGTTTTAGTTTTATTATGTGCAAATGTTTTTCTCTCAAAAGTAAAATTTTAATAGTTTGAAGTAGGCTACAACAAAAGTGCAAGCACTTCTTTTTCGCACGGTATTGCCCTGTAACTCCAACCCTAAATAAAAGATAATGGGCACATTGAATCGAGTTTTTATCACATTTTCTTGTCTCTGTCGTTAATCTAAGTTGAAAATTGCCAGTCGAGTGTTTCGCCTTGCCGGACCCAAGTTCCAGCGTCAGCGCTAAACATATCACTGCGACAGTTGGGGAGACGGAGATGACACGTGCACTACAGTCAACCGTATTAGGAAAGGCTGAGCATGCAGCGGTAACTGTGAGGAATATCCCAGTTACATTATGAAACACCTTATAAAATCAAATATAACATTTCTCCATGCGCTGTGAAGTTGTAATGGCTTGTACTGAAGCTTTTAAATGACTCCTATATTGCGTGTAAAGCAACCTAACAACAAGTTGAGTGATTTACAATGGACAGAAACTATAAACGGACACACGGCTGTATTCAGCAAGTACAATGAATAAAAGCAGTTCAAACTCAAATTTCACCAGCAAGTACCCGGCTGTCATGGCGATATTATAGAACGTGAGCCATGCCGTTACGATGGCGCCTTTAGTCCGCTTCTTGTTGTTGGTTTCTTTCTCCTCAACAGTTCCGTCCTCCTCGCCAGACGCCATGGTACCGGGCACAGACTGCGAAAGTCACAAAAACATTGCGCGAGCACAGCTGTCGTCAGGGGCTGGTCATCCCCGAGATCCCTCTGGAGGGGCCATTTGCACATGTATCGCATGAGTGTCAGTGTAGGAAAACATTTTCCCCCACATTAAGTTATGCTTATCTGTTGTCCAGTATAAGCTGGAAATAATATAGATGAAATGTCTCACAATTGACTAGCTACTAAACACAAGGTTATGCACTTCTACATTAATTAATTAATTCATTCACGTTAGTCACTTTCTGTTATGAATTCAAATGAAACTTCATCCAGGGGTGGGTGATTTTAGGATTCAACTCCTAATGACAAAAGGAGGGGCTCAACTCCTAATGACAAAAATTATATATATATATATATATATTAGTAGTTTTAGATGGATTGCTGATGCAGATGTCAAGAAAATAGAAAAACATTAAAATTAATCCTACAACTTATAAGTACCTCCAGTACTTCATTGGCTGTTTGCAATGGTTGTGCACTGAAGAGTACAATTGTAAAAAAAATATGATTTATAGAAATGACTAAAACTGAAGATTTTAGTAGTTTTAAGAAATCCATTTCTTTACATGAAGTATTTAAGATTTCAATAGCAAATTAGTATTGCAATACATTTAATATGGCAAAAAATAAATAAATCAGAGAACAACCTTTTCATATATCATCTTTTTAAAATTTAAGTTTAGAGATGATGTTATTTGATTTATGGTGTAAATTGAGATATTACAGACAATAAACTATTTATATTAATTATTGCGTTATGACAATTTACTGACAGGTTCCAGTTATTTCAGTAGAAATCTGTGATCAAGTGTTTGACTCTTTCGTAAACTGTACAAGTTTCTGGGCATGAAATTTCCCTGTGCACCAAGAATGGTTTAGTTACCTATATTGTTCAAATTATCATGTTTTGTGTTTATCTGAGGAGAGATTTAGAACAAAGGGAGGGTGAATTAATGATGACAGAATTTCCATTTTTGTGTAAAATATCCTTTAATAAATCCAGTGTGCTGTTTCTATGGCATGGATTTAAGTGCTGTTTTTGTTTATTTATTTTTTGATTGCTCAGGACCGGTATTTTATACCAACACATGATTTTGGGGATATGCATCACTGCAGATTCTCTGGTATTGTAAAAAAGAGAAGAGAACCTTGAATCTACCAGTTTGGTGAGAAAATCCTGCATAACAAAAGGAGCGAGAAAACATCTGTTTTGTAGCATTTCACCTTTGACATAAGGGGCTTGTTATGAGTTTAATTATTATGTTTTTTTTCTCCATTGCTCTTCCTTTTGCTCTTTTATTCTCTTTCACTCTGCTTTTGCTCTTTTGCTCTTTTTGTTCTTTCTTTTACTCTTCCTTTGGATCTTTTGCTCTTTCCCTTGCTCTTTTGCTATTTTTTGCTCTCCATTTTGTTATTTTGCTTTTTTTCGCTCTTCCTTTTGCTCTTTTACTTTTTTCGCTTTTCTTTTAGCTATTTTCTTCTTTCTTTCACTTTTCCTTTTGCTCTTTCTTTGCTTTTTCTTTTGCTCCTTTGTTCGTTTTTCCCTCTTCCTTTTGACCTTTTGCTCTTTTTTCGCACTTCCTTTTGCTCTGCTGCTCTTTTTTAGCTCTTCTTTTTGCTCTTTTTCGCTCTTCCTTTTGGTCTTCCTTTTGACATTCTGCTCTTTTTCGCTCTCCTTTTTACTCTTTTGCTCTTTTTTTGCTCTTCCTTTTGCACTTTCGTTCTTTCTTTCGCTTTTCATTTTGCTCTTTCGATCTTTCTTTCGCTCATCTTTTTGCTTTTTTTCTCTTTTTTCGGAATTCCATTTGTTAAAACATTTCTTGTGTAGTTGTATCGAGTTGTATGCACTTGTGGGAGTTATATGGATAAATTACGTTTAAATTACAACTAAATGACTTCTTTTAATCTTTTGCAGACAGCAATAAGCTATAGGCTAGTCAACTTTAGCATAACTTCTCAACACTCATTAACTTAACTTAGTTGAAACACCTCACATTGATTTGGGCAACCAAATAGAAAAGTGTGTGGCGGCTGCTGAACCTCTTGGTCCTGCATCAAACCAAAAAACTTGACCAAGTTCAGTGTGGAAGCATTTTACAGTCAGTGCTGCAGATAAAACCAAAGTGATATGTAATGTGTGCAAAAGTGAAATCATCAGAGGCAGAGATATCAAACATGTGTCATCATCTGCAATGCATAATCATGTAGACTTATGGCCTACTCACACAATCGGAACCGTTTGCATTCTCCCCTGGTGCTGTCTGCCAACCCCCCTTAAGCACCAATCCCCCCGCCAGCACCAAACCATCAACACAGCCATGTTCTGCCCCCTGCAAGTCAGTTTGAATCACAAATTAGCTGTATTTAATGCAAAACAGGCTTATCCACCCAACCACCACCACCAAAAAAAAAGTAAATAAATAATAATAATAAAATGAATAAATAAAAAACTTTTGTGTTTGTTTTTTGGCAGACAGTTGACAATATCAGGGCTGTATTTTTTAGTATTGTATACAATACAACTTTTAATCTGCCAGATCTCCCAGTCAGGGATTGATAAATTTTAGTTCTTAGAATTCTGTGCATTAGAAAGAAGTTATTTTAAAAGAAGAACAGTTCTTTGAAGTATTATTATTATTATTTTTCTGTGTTCAGTGTCCTTCAAGAAGTATGAGGGGTGGTGGGGTTCAAAATGTTCACAATGGTATTTTATTAATTGTTGGTATAAGCATGGATGAGGTTGTCACGGTTGCAGGTTTGTGCGCTCTTCCGGAGTGTCTGTTTGATCATGTGGGTTTGTTTTGTTTTTGCGGCCCAAATGTATTTGTTTTGGTCACATGTCATGACAGGTACTCAGCTGGATTGATTGTTCACCAGCTGATACTCATTATCATGCCTATATATGTGCTACGTGTTCAGTGTTCATTGTCAGTTCTTTACTTCTGCTTATGGTGCTTCTTGTCTGTGCTCAGGACCTGAGGAGTTTTTACTGGACCCTGTTTCCTGCCTGATTCCTGCCCTGTTTCTCCTAGTTCTAGCACCGCACTCATTCCTTGCTTTTGTTTTGACTTTGTTAATAAATTATTATTTGTATCACTCGCACTTGGATTCACCAGAACATTATTTACGTGTGACAAAACGAACTGACCTTTACATGGATCCAGCGAGTGCGTCGCAGATCTCGGAGTTCCTGACAACCAGCAACGCCAGGATCGATCGCCAGGATGAGGCGTTGGCAACGACAGCACAGGCGATTCAGGCCTTGGTTGGTCAGGTAACACTACTGACTACACAGGTCCAACAGCTGGTTTCCGGAGCAGCACAAGCGGAGCCTGCGCCAGCCCCGGAGGTGATACCTGCGCCGGTGACTGCTAATGTTAGCATTGGTCGCTCAGTTGAGCCTCGCCTTCCTCCACCGACCTGCTATGCTGGAGAGCCTCACTTATGTCGGTCCTTCTTGTCCAAATGCTCTCTGTACTTTTCCCTGCAGCCGTCCTTGTTCTCTACAGAACAGTCCAAGGTGGCGTTTGTCATCACCCTTCTTTCAGGAAGGGCGGCTCAATGGGGAACCACAGCATGGGAAAAGAAATTACCATGTTGTACCTTGTTCGACCTGTTCTCTAAGGAACTCAAGAAGGTCTTTGATCGGGCTGCTTCTGGGAGAGAAGCCACTCGAGTCCTCGCTGAGCTCCGCCAGGGGAATCGGAGCTTGGCGGACTATTCCATTGAGTTCCGCACTTTGGCTGCTGAATCCGGCTGGAACGCGGAGGCTCAATGGGATATGTTCCTTCATGGCCTTTCTGATCGTCTCCAGGACGAGATCTACTCCTTAGATCTGCCCAAAACTCTCGACGAGTTGGTGGATTTGGCCATCCGGGTGGACTCCAGACTGCTTCGCCGTGAGAGTCGCATGCGGCAAAACAGGTTTCCAGGTCCTGTTCCTGACTCGCTGGTCTCGGCGATGGCGCCGGAAGTTAGCAGCGTTGACCTGGAACCGATGCAGTTGGGCAGATCTCGCTTGTCCGTACAGGAAAAGCGCCGGCGGAGAACGGAGGGACTCTGCCTCTACTGCGGTGGGGCGGGGCATCGGGTGGCTTCCTGTCCCGTAAAAGACAACACCCATCAGTAGGTAAGAGGTTACTGATGGGTGAAATTAATTTGGACAAATCCTCTACGTCTGCTACATTACTGTCCGTCACCTTATCTTGGGGTTCCGGAACTCAAAACACACAGCCGCTCGTCGATTCCGGGGCAGAGGGAAACTTCATTGACTCTAGTTTCGCTTTCAATTTTAAACTTCCGGTTATAGCACTATCACAACCCATAGCAGTACTCGCCCTCAGCGGACTTTCCCTTCCCACTATCACTCACTCCACCAAACCCATAAAACTTATCACGTCTGGGAATCATGTTGAAAACATTTCATTTTTTTTTAACAGACTGTTCTAACACACCGGTGGTTTTAGGTCATCCTTGGTTGATTCTCCATAAGCCTCATATTAACTGGGGTCTTTATACAATATTTTCGTGGAGTGAGAACTGTTATGAGTCTTGTCTTTCGTCTGCTCGTTCTGCTGTTTCTTGTTCTGTGTTTCAGGAGGAGTGCATGGACCTGTCAAACATGCCCAGTGAGTACCTCGACCTGAAGAGTGTTCAGTAAGTCTCGAGCTGCTTCTCTGCCTCCTCATCGTCCCTATGACTGTGCAATAGACTTATTGCCAGGTACGTTTCCGCCTAAAGGCAAGTTATACTCTTTTTCTATTCCTGAGAGGGAGGCCATGGAGAAATATATTTCTGATTCTCTAGCGGCCAAGATCATACGGCCCTCTTCTTCACCGGCAGGGGCGGGGTTCTTTTTCGTGAAAAAGAAGGATGGGTCTCTTAGACCCTGCATAGACTATCGAGGGCTGAACAGCATCACGGTGAAGAATACATATCCTTTGCCGCTGATGTCTTCAGCGTTCGAGCGTCTGCAGGGGGCTTCGTTTTTCACAAAATTAGATCTCCGCAACGCATATCATTTGGTTCGCATG